AGAGTGATGTTTCGAGGCCTACGGCTCTTCTTCAGACTTCTGGTAAATGACAGAAAGTCGTCATCTAGAAATACCCACAGTGCCTGAACTAGTCATGTGACATACCACACCCATCACCTTTATACATAATAAGAATAGACAAAGAAATTATATATATGTGCGTATATATGTGTTTTGTACCAGGGCTACTTTAGATAAAAATATGCACACATTTTGTATCCAACATAAGTAATTTTACCAAGTTATCTTGATATGTTACAGTTGCTTCTCACCTGCAGCACAGTGTATTACAGTGTTAGCATACATGAACACATTCAGGCCACACATAGAAATAAAGGTACATGAAGAAAAACACATACAAATATACACCCCCAATCGTTGGTATTACCACAACAACTTGGGCGTTAATGCCGTAATAGAAATACTATCTGTTGGAGGCCCCTAGTGGATACGTAACTGCAGTTAGAAAAACATGGAAAGATAATATATACTTACTGTTTGCCGAACCGGCAATGTTAATGTGGGCAACATGAGAGACAGTAGAATTACAGAATTACAGAAAAGGTCTAATGTCAGATTCCATATTGAGGCCTTTAGAGGCCAAAGTTCCCAGTGTGTTTTTATTTTTATTTTAGATGTATGATTTAACCAAGTTTGTAAAATCATTTACATGTGTGGGATACGAAATGTCTACGTGCTGGTATTTCCCCATCATATATTCATCCAGAGTAGCCCTGGTACGATATTGGGGTACTCATCATGTATATATATATAGTTGTGTGGTATGTCACATGACTAGTGCAGGCACTATGGGTGTTTAAAATGGCGACTTTCTGTCACTTATTAGAAGTCTGAGGAAGACCTGTAGGCTCGAAACGTCACTCTGAATTAAAGTCTTTTAAAATGGGAGCTGCTTGATGTGCAGACTTATTTGTTTTCTACTTTGCCAGATGTTTCTTTGGTTCAGCACCCACTCCATTGGACATTGAGATGTGCGTGTCTTTTATATTGTTTTTTAACCCAAACTAAGTTCAGCAGATTTAATTTAAGGGAAAAAAACAGGCAGTGGCCTTCTTTACACAGTCATGACCATTTCCTTGTGTCCCTCTGACAACAAACTGAAAGGTGACTTAGCGAGGGAGCAGATATTAACTGGGAGGCGAAGCATGAAGCACCAAGTAGGCTGAGCCCGATCCAAACCTGAACATTGTTAATATTTGTCAAAACCCAGCCTAGCCCGTTCAGACCCAGTGGGACTCGTTGGGCTCAGTTCAGGTTTCCACACTCTAAGGCACATGCACGATGTGTATATACATTACACACATGCCATACTGAATGCAGAACACGCGTACACACATGTGCATAAACACATTTTCTATTAAAAGTCTGTCATCTAGCTAGCTGTTGTAAGGGTGAACATCAGGGGTGAGGGCTGAAACTGTCATTGTAGAATTTCCTATTTAAGGATATTAGATGTTTATAAAAATCAAAGTCGAATTTTGAATGAATGGAATAACATACAGAATATGTGAGTGTGTGATCCAAACCAGACTGCTAGAGCCAATTTAATAGATTTATTCAGTTTGGTATATGCATCGTCGGCCGCTCACTAGCTAGGCTACTTGGTAGATGCCCACAGGATACTGCAACCCTGATTAAAAGGAAGTGAGGCCGACATGAAAGGGGGAATTTATAATTGGCAGCAGGAGCGAGGACAGCAGCAACCAGATACTTGACTGCGACTGATTGGTGAGCCAGGTAAAGTTTAGTTAGACAGGTTGGACACATAGGAATAAAGAAATGAATGTTATTAGAAAGCTTTATCTCCTACTACTCTCTCCTTTCCTTCTCTCTCTCTCTCTCTTTCTCTCTCCAGTAGTGACGTTCACAAGCGCTGCCCGTTATGCGAGGTGATCTTCCCGCCCCACTTTGAGCAGCGCAGCTTCGAGCAGCACGTGGAAAGCCACTGGAAGGTGTGCCCCGTCTGCTCCGAGCAGTTCCCCCTTAACTGTCAGCAGCAGCTCTTCGAGAGGCACGTCCTCACGCACTTTGACGGCCACGTGCTCAACTTCGAGCAGATCGAGTGAAGGATGCAAAGGGCAAACCTAGAATTCTGACATACCATATGGGTAAATGTGTGTCGTCAGCTATTAGTTAATTTTGATTGGGTTGAGTTGTCTCGTTAATATACAATCATTAGCACTTTTTCGCAATCTTAACAAAGGTTAGAAAGAATGTAGTCCACTTCTGAAAGGAAGCAAAGGTGTTTTTTTTTTAAGTAGGGTAGCTTTCACCTTAAAACACCATGGGTAAAAGGATCTGTAACACTCACAAAAAGTGCCACGGTCCTTTACTTTTCTATCATTTTTATGCTCTTCTTTCTGCTTCAGGGGACTAAAGCACCATTGGTACTGCATGCATTTATTCTGTGTTCAAAATGACAAAATTATAGCTGTTATAGCGAAAGGGATGAATTGTAGCAGGAGCTTCAAGAGAAAGCATTTTAGTATGTTGGTGTCCCTGAATATTATTTACAGTTATTCTTATGCGATATAACAGCCAAAACATCTTCATCTTTGAATTGTCCACGATTCATAGCTCGTGCACAGAAGGGATACATTTTTTTAAGTGTAAATGCAGAGCGAGATCTGATTATGTGATGTCTTCAAGAGTCATCTGAGTGTGTATATTTAAATGAAGATTGGTACGGAGGAGACTTTTTTTTTGTTGACTTGAATGGGAATTGATTTTTCCCAGAACCACAGTACTACTGTACGTATAAGACGTCAGATGGTTGAAACAAAAACAGCACTACGTTTTCATGTATCTGCACTAAATAAGGCTTTATTCTGAATGTACTGTACATATGAAAATAAGTATAAGTTGTGGAGAGACCTGTGAATTACTGTCGTGACCCTGCCTCCCCTCATTGTTACTTCCTTCCATGTTTTAGCGATGAAAGAATGGTGGACCAATGATGTTTTACTTTGGTTAGTTGGTCAGAAAACTGGGCTGGTCTCTTTATTTGATCTGAGGTAACTGTCAAACAGGCAAACAGACTGCAGGACACTAAGTTCCAGACTCTTTTCTCGTTGCGTACTTCCACGTTTTAAAGTTAGAACTGTGAAGAAAAGTCATTGCTTCGTGTGCAGGTCCAAATCATGAGCGAGTGTCATATCTGTGTGTGTCTCCACATCACCGCTTGTCTATTTTCTGTCATTACAAAGTGAACCCTGACAGTGTTGTATTCAGGCTTTAAAAATTGCACATGCCCAGTAATCACAAAGGCAAAATGTGTGTGTATGTCATGTGTCCGATGCAGCCCCCTTTTCATGTGAGAATGTCAGGACGGTGGTTTAAGTGTGTACTGCAAAGATCTTTATGAATAAAGTAAGCTTGTCTTAATGCATTTATTGTAATGTCGTCTCCTGTTTGGGTTGAGATGGGGAGAAATAACATGAGTCCACACTACAGAGCTTTTTACTTTATTTTTACTGTTTTTTTTTTCAGTCATTTCCTGTTTACATTTAAGCAGCTTCTCTTTTATATAGAAAGACAGTTTGACATCATTTACAAGTCACTCTGCTCAGAACCTGTTGTCCCCCCATACAAAAAGGAAACATTGGTCTCCACGTTACATACGAAAATATAATTTAAAAGCACTTGACAACAGACACACGTTACAATACATTCACTGTACATGGTATATAGAAACCCCCTCCCTTGTCTCCTCCTTCTGCACACAGCCTCCGCTCCTCCTCTCCCATATGTGTAATACTGCAATTGGCCCCCCGTGTAAAGCTGAAACTATTGCCATGGTGACGGCGGTGTCCGTGAAGCGGGGATGGTTTTACGAGTGTTTGACGGGAGACTCTCAGTCTCCGTCCATCTCGGCCCGTCTCTGCTCTGATCCCAGACACGGAAACTCTTCCCCTGCTCTCAAAGGCAGGAACGAAGTTTTCCTGTCACACACAAACCATTATCTCAGGGTTACTGTCGGGGTAGTAAGTCCACAGACGTACTTTGAAATTGATACCAAAATTTTAGAGATCTTGCTTCACTTATTGGTGCTTCAGAATAGACATAGGGCGTCTTTCAGGCACACATTTGTGCTTATTTGTTAGGTAGCACACGAGTTAAAGGCATTCTAAGTACAGTGCAGGCGCATTGTAATTACTATAATCAGAACAGGGTATTTAAAAGAAATTAGGGGGTGAAATTATTTGTTTAACCCCATAAAACTTTAATAAACAAATACCAAAATTACTATTTAACAAAAAAGGTCTCTTTGCCATGCTGACCCAGTGGTTTCCATGGCAACAGCAGCTTGGAGGGCAGGAGGGTGTGTGCATGTCAGAGGTCACGGTACCCATCAAAAGAACAAAAGAGAAGAAGCTCGTGCTTTGAGCTTCCAGCAGATTTAAAAAACGTTGTGCACGATGAGGGAAACGATGTCGTGAATCGATGTGTGTTGGCACGCTTGGGCGGCTGCGCTGCACCGCTCTTGTTTTTCTTGGAGGCAATGAATGATAAAATCCCAATCAGGGGCAACAAGTCGGCCACCACTATGACTACATGACGCAACACTTGCCAGTGCCGTCCTGCTCCACAGGAGTCGAACCAGCGGCCTGGCACAGACAGCACAGACAGATCCGAGCACGGTCACACACAGAATACAGTAACACTCTATAGGCTGATGACTTGGATACCGCTGAGAAAACACACTCACTCACACACACACACACGCATACATACACACGTACAATGAACTGGAATGCTCTCGTCTACAACACACACAAATGACAGGCTGTATGGTAATCTCTTTCAAATACAAATCTTTCACACATTCTTCCTCTCGTTACGACACTGAAAGCATGCATGAAAACATTCCGCAGATGTACATCCACTCATCCGCACATTTTGGAGGCGCGATGGAGAAGAGAATCGTTGCCACACATTTGGCGACCCCCCCCCCCCCCCCCCCCCCCCCCCCCCCCATCAGGCACATGGTATGGTCAATGTTTGGCAGTGGAGAGCTGTTGGCAACATTATGGAAAAAAACAAAACAACAAAGATCTTGGCAGCTGGAATACAGTATGGGGCTTAACCTGCTTTTGCAGCTAAGTTTCTTGAACACAGCTCTGGCACCGTGAATGAGGAAACACTGGCGATATGAAATACATGGATGGCTTCCTGTGGGGGTGAAATGTGTAAGATATGGATTGTTGGCCTGCGCCGTGTCCCAATAGTTCAGCGCCCCTTCCTGATCAACAGTAATAACATCGCATATGCTTCAGGGTGTGTCAAACAGAAAGGCGTTTTGGCTCCTTATCTCCAGGGTGTGGTGAGAGGAAACTCTCTGAACCCAAAGTCAGCCAGCTGTTTGACCTTCACCTCTGAGGTGACAAAACTGGCCGTCTCAGCAAATAAGGAATGAAAGGAACACTTACTGATACAAAGAAAAAGAAAAACACTGACAAAAATATATAAAATAAAGCTTGAAAATAAAGTGTAACTATTTATGTATATGCTCATGAATACTTTTATATATTTTTATGTACACATACATATCTGTCTATTGTTTATATATCAATATATCTATTTAAAGTATAACTTAGCTCTCGCACCGAAACCCCCAGAAGTTACTGCAAAGGCACAGATCTGAGCTCAGCCAACTCACTGCATCTAACGGAAAGGGAGTGTTGCCGACGTCTGAACTCAGATCAGCACTAATGTCAACTTCATCCCACTCAAGAGACGAGCGGTGACAGGGGCAGGGCTGGGTTGCACTTCCTGTTTCACATCTTCTTTTATGTTTCCACTCTTCTTTCGTAACGTTTGTTTTTGTGTCTTTTCTTTCTGTTTTTTACAGTTAGCACCTTATGTAAATGAAACAAAAGAGAAAAAGTAACGTGATAGCATATACGAATGTGCAAATGTACAACAATAAAAAATACTACAAAGATACACCTTTTCTTTTCAAAAATACAAGTGATATAACATGGATAGAAAAAAAAATAACATTTACGAACAAAAAGATGAAAAAAGAAAACGAAAACAACTTAAAGCACGCACTTGATCCTTTAGTGTGGGGGATGGGTATAAACGGGGCCGGGTGAGGACAGTCAGGATAGGGCTAATGTTTGGGGTAGTGATTGGTGTGAGCACAGGCTCTAGCCTTGAATCTTGCGCAGGATCTCAGTGGAGACGGGTGGGTGGAAGTTGATGGTGTGGTGTCTCAGGCCCTGCGAGGTCTTGTAGCTCTTGCCGCAGCGACACTTGAAGGGTTTCCTCACGCGGATCTGCGTACGGTGGCCATTCTTGGCGTGGTACTTGATGCCGTTCACATTCTTAAGAGACAAGGGAGAGGAGAAACGTCATGAAAGGGGAGAAGGGTTACAAACAAACCTCATGTCTGACCATAAACCTTTCATAATAGTCTGTGGGCATGGGTTCATAGCTTAATGCTAGCTCAGTAGTGCTAGTTGAGCTAGCAGTAGATGCACGCTTCCTTCTGCGGGGTGTAGTTCAGCAGAAAGAAAGAAAATAGTCCCTATATGAAACTGCTCAACAAGATCTGTGGATTATCTTGAGTAACCAGGTCATGATTTCTGGAAAGAGTCATTGCTGTTGAGTTCTTTAAATGTATTTTTTTGGCATTTGAGCACCACAAGCTGAGTGCCATCTTGTTTCATCATATTCGAGAGAAGGCAGACATCTCTACGGCCAATATCTCGGACAGTCAACAACCCACGCCAAAACAATCTAAACTGATTTACTGCACTACAGGTAAGAGAAAAAATATGTCCCTTTTATACAGTTTAGGATCCCAAGCCTGACAGAAATTTGTTAATTTGTTCATTTATTAGCCACTTCCTAAATTAAATCAAACCGGTGGCAGTTGCTATTCACTTTACCTTCACTTCACTTTATATCAGAGCTAAACAATGTCAGACCTGGACCAAAACCTGGTCACACTCTGGGTGAAAAAGTCCAGTTGAAAAACACTGTTCAGATCAACAGCTTGTGTAACTTTATGTTGCGTCACTGTTTTGGTCTAAAAAGGGTATAAGAGACTAATGTTCCCAGACTGACAATGATTAAACAACCAGGAACGACAAGCTGAATGAGGTGCTTGTAAAATCCAACCAAAACAAATATACCATGATATATTTATTACTGCTTCCAATCACGGCATTCTGGATTCATTATGTGTGTTTTTTTTCCTCCTTCAAATATTATGTCCAGACATGTGATACTCAGACAAAAGCTCCAGTGTGGACTTAATCAGACAGTGCTAAACCTCGTGTCCTATGCTGTGTCGCTGGCGCTGCCTTCTCGGTCCTCTGGTATGGCCTTACCTTATATCTCTTCTTACAGCCGGGGACGGGGCAGGCGAACGGTTTCTCCTCTCCCCCGTTCATGCACATGGAGCTGAGGATCGACTCGGAACTAATTGCGCTTTCTGTGGTCCACGACTCATCGCTGTCCGACTCCTCGTAGTCTACCTCCTCCTCATCATACTCACTGCCTGGAGGCACAATGGAGACAAGCGGAACAAAAAAATAGCTAGTCATCCCTCATGAATTATGGACGGGGACATGCCCAAAAATACATCATGCCTTGGGAATTTAGCAAACAGAGATGATATGTGGCTTTTATTAATACTTCCCTCTATATTCTGCTGTGATTGTGATCTATCAGCAGCCCACATGCCACTGAGAGCACAGTTTAGACAAAACAGGAGTGGTGTGCATGTGCATGTGCGCAGGCTTCTGTGTATGCCTGTGAGTCAAAACGCAGGGGTTGGCACTGAAAAGGGGATCATTAAGTGGGAGTGATCAGGCTGGAAAAAGTGCTTTGCTAAGTGCAGAACATTTTCCACTCACACACACACACACACACACACACACACTAAGGCCCACTGACCCCCCACCATCTCACAGGAAATGCTGCACCTCAGCATGAGGAAATGGATGGCACCCTGGCACATGTCGAAAGAAAGTGTGTGTGTGTGTGTGTGTGTGTGTGTAGCCGTGCCGGTGTATAAGCCCAGACCTAACACTACGTTTGGAACCATTTGGGCTGGAATTGGACATCTGCTTCTGGGCTGTGCAACACACGGCCCCATGCGAACACACAGCGTGACAGCTGCTATGTAATTAGCAGAGTGTTGACTGGTCTGCTCACTGCAGGAGCCACCAAACAACACACACACACATACATTACATAGTGCTCGGGGTTTTAGCCTCTTCCCATTTCCGCTCTGGACGCAGATTTTCTTTATGATTAAAAAGTGTCCACGTATCCAATTTATTGCATTTTTATGTAGTGAATCATTTGTGGTTCCCACATACAATTTGAATTACTAAATAAAAGCTGAGCTGGCTCGTGCTTTCTTGGCGGATATTTTGAGGTTATGTTTTGAATTTTTTTCTGCAGTCGTCAGGTATGAAATAAGTTGCATTCCATTATGTTAAAAATGTCACCGTAACTGTAAGCTTTTTCTGTTGCTGCCGGTTGCATTACTTTGCATTAGTCACTTTCAACACCTGCACTCACTCCACAAGTACAAGCAATCCATCTGTCTTTCTCAAACATATATTTCAACACACACACACCTGTCGTACCTGTCGGTGTGCTGCTGCGAAAGGAGGAAGAGGGAGTGATGGGGGGCGTGACGGGAGGCGTCAGGTTACCGCTGGTGTGGCGAGGAGGCGTGGCTGTGCTGTTCCTGGACACTCCGCCAGTGATGGACAGGGACAGTTTGGGTGTGGCCTTCTTCTTCATGGTCTCCTGCTCCCGGCGCGCCGCATCTGTCATGAACCTGATGGCACAAATAGGGAGGGTGGTCATCAGTGAGTTCCACTGCTACACCGGGGAGTCAGGACAGTCTGGGATCAGGGAACCCCGGCGCGAAATCAAATCAAATGCAGGTATGGTCTGACTGGAGGCATTTTGATGCTACTTGCTACTGGGTTATTTCAGTCAATACCATAAAAGCATAGTACTGATACCCAGCCCTGACTGCAAGTGCGATCAGGGAAAACTGAACCAGGAAGGCCGTCTTAAAGCTGTGATGGATGTTTACAACAGACAGCTGGAACTCTTCTGGTGTTTCCGCCCCCCCCCCTAACTCCTTTTTAGCGATGTTGCTAAGGTCCCAGATCATTACTGAAAGGAACGTTGTCAAAACTACAAAAATAAGACCCTGGTTCAGTTGTGATTAACTGAAAGTATACTTAAATAAACCCTATGTACTGTAGTATTCTGTATGTTCTTCTTCTGCTTTCTAATGTTCTACAGTGTTATTTGTTGCTATAATGAAGGGCATTTAAGGTTTCACCTCATCTGATTATGGCTATTCTCTGCCCTGGTGCTATGAGAGGGAAGTGTGAGGTTAGCAAAGACATAATTGAGCTGCTGAATGTGCTGTGTCTTTGAATACACACGGTCATCAAAACACTGTACAGGAAATATGAGTGACATTTACAACCTCGCCACTTGAGCAATTACCACAGAAAACAAACCTAACTCTCTCTCTGTGTTTTACTGTTATCTTTCTAAACGTTGCGTTTTGGAGTGATTTAACAGGGCATTAAGTGGGACGTGACACATCGGTTCACCACACAACAAACACAGACATACATGCAGTAATCCTGATAGGCTGCCTCTGGTTGTGCCGTTTGCAGCACAGGGAGACAGGAGTGATTGTCTTGTGTGGTTTTTCTCTGCTGGTCTGTGGATGAGTCACTGCTGTGTCTATGGGAAGACATCAGTCATTTGAGCTGCTCTCCGCAAGCCACATGTGCGCACGCTCTCTCTCACACACATACAAACACACACACACACACACAGAATCACAGACTTTCATTGTTGGAGCAATGCTGCCCTCTATAGACGGACACCTTTGCTTGTGTGTGTAAACACATATGTACCTGTTGATGTAGCTGAGGGCCAGATAAGTGGGCTGCTGTTGCTCCTGCTTCTCCAGGACCCGCGGATCTGTGTCTGTGAGGGAGAAAAAGAGAGGGAGACATTCAGATTAATCACCGCTCTCTGTGCAGGGAAAAAGCTGCATGAATACTCTTAGTATGTAGCTGACTCATACATCTATTCTTCCTGCCAGACTGTCTGATATATTACCATTTCTCACACTGCGTTCTCTGTATTAGCCCATGATATGTGAAAGCCTGATACATTTCGAATACTTTCATAAGTGGCACATTATTACGCCAACGCCGGGCAGTCTGTAATTTACTACAAATGTCTTTCCCAAAGTGACTAAAGGCTGATTAATCGTGGCTGAGTCTGAATGTGGCAAAGAAGAAATTTGTCTGTGAGTGAAAGAGCGACTCGGTGGCTGTGATGAATGTACACAGTGTATTACTTGAAACACACACACACACACACACACACACACACGCTGCTTTTTCCAGTTGACTTACTAGGTCAGTAACACTACAGTAGGCAACTTCCACTGCCTGAGGGAAGCTGTGTTAACTTCAAAGCCCCACCTCCCACCCCCTGGAAAACAGGAGCAAGTGTGCATGAAAACACTGCGGGTGGGTGCATCTGTGAAGTACCAGTGCCATCAAGTGTTCAACAGGGGAACATTCAGAGGGATCCACAGTTACAAAAACTAAGCCATGGCGTGCACGGCTATGTTTGTCTGAGTGTGTGTGTGCATGTAGGCATAATTACAGCTTTATATGTAATGGTTAGCAGATGTATTGCAAATAAGATCCAAGAACTTGATCATCTCTGTGCAACAATTAACAACACACAGTGGACGCTCCCTCCAACTAATCCCATGTGTGTGTGCGTTTGCGTGTTGGCCCTCTTAGCCCTTTTAGTTTTCAGGCTTTCACACCTCATAATTAAAAAAGAATGCAGACTTCCCACAGTGCAGGAGAACACCAAGGAGACCAGCAAACACGAAAACAGCCTAGAAAAAATTGCACACTGCTGCTGCTGCTGCTGCTGCTGCTGCTGCAGCGTAGACCTGAGTCTTATACGTGTGAGTATATGTAAAAACACTCAGGAGGTTGGGTGAGGAAAAAAGATAGCAAGAGCATGCATCCATAAACACACACACAGGCTCACACACAAACACATCTGAGGTGGTCCACAGAGGTGGTCTTTGACAGTCTTTTATAGCTGAGCCTTAATAATCCTACCTGCTGCTCAGATGGAGAGACCAGAGCTCTCCGCGCATGCACAAGCACGCACACACACAAGCATACGCACAAATACTCACAGACCAACACGCCTCAACCTATCATCACTGACGAGGCTGGATCAAAAACATGACAATGAGCACCCATTAGCCCAGTAGCTTGCCCAATTTGTTTTCCGTCATTATACAGTACATTGATATCATGTGATGATGTTAAAAGGTTGACGCACTCTGAGAATATCTGAAGACAAGAAATATTTTTTAAAGGAGTACTTTACCGACAAAATGATCATTTGCACATCAATTACTTTCGTGCATGCCTCCGGTGAACCAAGAACCCAAAAAAACTGGGAAAATTCTTGATGAGTTTAAGTAATGGGGGCCGGCTTTATCAACAGCAGAACTATATCAAGACATCTGTTTACAAACTCTCAAACAACCCATACAGTATAACTGAAGTCTCAGTTACCCAGTCGTAGGCTCAGCATTTTCCAAACACGTTTGCCCTAAAACCTTACTATTTAAAACTGTACGTAAGTGAAATTTATCTATGCCCTCTTCAAAGCCAGACTCCATTCACAAAAACAGTTATTTTACCTGCTTGAAAATGGGAGTTGCTTGTCTACCTGTGCCCCGATCGGTTAGTTTGCTCATAATACTGTGTGATTTTGGTGAATCCGAACTAAACCTTTAAAACACCAGTCACACCATAAAACAAACTAACCAACTGATCAAGGCAGTGGTAGACCAGCAGCTCCTGTGTTCAGCGAGGTAAAAGTACTGTTTTTGTCAATGGAGTCTTGGGCCCAATCCCATTTCTACCCCTTAAATCCTCCACTTGGTATTGAGTGCCCTCGTTTGCGAGATAACCCTTGATGAGGGAAGTGAGAAATATTAGGGTAGAGATCTTTCCCTAAGAAATGAGACACCACTTCATGCAAATCGGCGTGGCCGACGTGCAGGCACACGTTATGCGTAGTAGCGACACAAGATACCGGTAGTCTGTCAGGTTTGAAAATGTCGGCTCCAGCACTTGTGATGTGGCGTGTGCTATGTTTATTCTTCTCAGTCTGATGAATCAATGGAGATGAAATGCTGAAAACAGGAGGCACCTATGTCATCTTCTAGTTCTAATCAATTTTGAGAGTTGCTGATGAGTTTACGCTAGTCCAACCATTTGTTGTTTGTATAGCCTACATTCCGATCATACAGTAACTAGTTGTTTTCCAAAACTTGACGAAGTTGCTGACTTCGCAAGGTGTTCTGGGAAATTTCATCTTCCACTTCGTTGAAAGTGTGGGTCGGGGCTCCCTTGGAATCTAGGGAGGGTTTTAAGTGTTGGAAACCACTTCCACTACCTCAGTTCTGTTTTGGGACACCACTAGCCTAAACGTGAATGCGTACAACCAAGTGCAAGTGGGTATTTCTAGGAGAAGTGTGGGTATTGGGACAGGCCCTTGCTTTTCAGCTCAGTTCCTTCTTGGAAAGGGCTGTCTTGTTGGCAAGTACATAGCATATGACTGGAAAAATGAGACTTGGATTATTCTGCACGAGTTGTGTAAGAGTTTGTAAACACATGTTTTGATATAGTTTTGCTGTTGTTAAACACGTCTCTGCATGACTTCAATTAATCAGGAATTTTCAGTGTTTTTGGATCCATCCCTCAACAAGGAGACATGTGAAAAAATCAAGTCTTCTGTACAAATTTACCATAATACAAAGTGAGTAACCGATAAACAAATGGTCATTTGAGATCATTTACAATCACGTAAGTCATCATATGTCAGAAGCGGGAGCTGCTTAATGCCTCGCATTTTCCCACCCTAACAATATTCGTCATAAAGCCATTGACAATAAATGTTCTGTAGATTGAATAATTGATTAATAAAATAATTTTTAAGCATTCTAATCAACAATCTGAAATGAAGAACCACTAGTAGAACTTCTACATGGTAGGATATATCTAAAGCAATGAACATTGTAACAGTGTCAGGCAGCTAAATGCCAAAAGAACAAGTAACAGAAAGAGAAACTCCAGAGTTAATAATTAGGGATGTACAAGGACCTTTTTTTTTGCTTTAAGATGAGGTAAGTGTGTGCATGTGTGTGTAGAGAAGGGGGAGGGGGGCAGGGCGTTGGTGGAAATGGAATAAGCCAGGTGCAGAGAGAGAGAGAGAGCTGCAGTAAATGTTCACCAGCTTTATGACTTCCGCTCACCTAGCAGGACAGGAAGCTAACACATTGCTGATCCTGCCGCTGGAGCAGGAGACCTGCACATGCATACATACACACACACACTCACATTTAGACACAGACATGCATTACGCCACAACAATATCAATTTTCACTGATTTAATTCACACGTTCTACATTTAACCTCCTGTTGCAATGCCAGCAGCCTGCCCTGTGTGTTTTCCATCAATATGTGTGTGTGTGTGTTTCAGTGCATGAGTGCTGCGCGTCCAAGACATTTCAGAGTCTCAAGGGTCTATAAATATCCCCCTAATTAGCATTCCTGTCATTAAAAGCAGCAACCAATCAACTGCTGCTCCGCTCATTTCAACAGTGACATCCATCTCCCACCAGCAGTACACTGCTGCCCCCTGTTGAATACACAATGTGTGCATGTGTCCACATGTATGTGCACATGTGCATAGGTCTGTGTGTGCATGTGTGTATGTGTTGAAACCAGGCCAAGAATGCATGGCTTGTTTTGCAGACTGCTAATTAAGCCACAGAGAGCGTTTTAACGTGTTTCTAGAGCAGCAGGCAACCGGATGGAGAGAGAGGAGAGGAGGAGGAGGAGCAGGGGGGATATGGGTGGGGGAAAAGGCAAACTTCTCTGTAATTACACTTCCCAGTGCTTGGTGGGGTGCTCGGGCCCTGCGACTTCCGAAAGGCAATCTGTGTGAGCGTGTGTACGTGTATGTATGTGTAGCGTGAAAAGAGAGGGCCTGCAGTCTCCAGTTTGGGACGTCGATGCACTAATTGCTCCGCTACACCCTGACAGGTCATTTAGGAAGTATGGTGAACACACACTCTCTCACACGGACAAGCACACGCCCCTTCCCGTCTCACACCTCCGAAAGTGGGATGGCAAGCAATCTGGCAACCGGGGCTGGGCTATGACGTTTAAGTTTTATCTGCAATAAAGTATTTTCTGATACTGATTCATATAACACTCTGGGAGATGTATGAAAAATCACACATAAATAGAGCAGCATGAATTTGTGTCTTAATCAGTTAGTCGACAAATAACATATGACCTAATATTGTGATTATTAATAAACAATTTTGAGTTATTTTTCAAGCACAGGCTGAAGATTTCAAAGTTTCAGCTCCTCAGTTGTGAGGATTTGCTGCTCTTCTCTGTTCACCATCACTGTAAATTGAATATTTTGAGGTTTTGGACTGTTGGTCAGACAAAACAAGACATTTAATGGATGGTTTTAGTAACCTGTGACATTTGGACCAAATAAATAATCAATTAATCAAATAATCATCAGATCAATAATTATTATTAGTTGTAGCTAGGGCTCGGTATCTGTACTCTACCTTTCAGGTATCAACCGATAACCCTGTGCCGAGTTATATCGAACCTTCTCCAGTCAAACAACACCTGAATTCGATCCTTTATGTACTCAGATCTGGAAGTTGTCGTCGAGGTTTGCTCACAGCCAATCACTGCAAGCATTCTTGAATTTGACGCAATGAGTGATTGACCCACTACTGCAGCAGCTACAGCCCATACAGTCTGTGGTGTGGTGAAGTCAAGCGCCATGTATTTGACAGAGGTGGCAGCTCAGCGTGCCGAGATCATTTCGAGATCATAATTTTCTGGGGTCTGTACCAAACAAGCATGTTCCCTTACGTCTGGAATATTATGTTTAGGCCGGAGCATCTCTGTGGCAATTATAATGAGATGTTGTGACACATTTTACCTTTGTCAAAAAAATGCAGCTCCTGCAATCTGGATATTGAGTTGGCCATATTGCAGGCTCAATAATATTTTGATTAACTGTGCAGCCCTCATTATTATGTTTCTCGATTAATCGTTTTGTCTATGAAATATTAGAAAACAGTGAAAAATGCCAATCACAGTAACCCAGAGTCAAAGATGCCGGCTTCAAATGCCTTGTTTTTGTCTGACCGACCACCCAAAACTCAAAGATATTCAATTTAGCATCATGTACGACAAAGAACAGCAGCAAATCTTCACGTCTGAGAACCTGGAGCCAGTGAGCATTCACAGTTCTCCTTAAATAACAATCTAGACAATCAAACAATTATGAAAACTGTTGCTGGTCAATTTTCCGTCAGTCAACTCATCTATTAATTGAGCAATCATTATGGCTTTGAAGCTCATATCTCCACAAAATGATTACACTTTAACATTAATTATCGCTCAGACCTACTGGCAACATCAAAGGAACTAATGCAAAGACACATTCTAGTAATTCACATAATACCTCCTTAGATATGTAATTATACCTTAAAGAAACCCAGCTGTGAAGGGGTTTTCCTACCTGGTAATGACAGAGAGATAAAAACTGCCTCACCACATTGTGTTTGTATTTGCCTCATGTTTGAGCCAAGGCAGATAAAGGAATACAGCCAAACTTGGCCGGTGGGCTGAGTGATTATGTAATTAAAAGTTACTTTAGGTTAATTATCTGCATGCTTCAGCAGAGACTACAATGCTGACCTGACTCCTCTTGTCTAGTCACACCTTAGGCTTTGATTCCAGCTATTAAACCCAATCCAAATGCACAACAAAAAAATCCAAGTGAATTCTGTCTGACGCTAGGCCTTTCCCTGTGCTCGCCCCCACACATTTCCTCTCTTAACCTCCTCTTTCAATCTCTTCCCCACTTTTAATCTCTCCCTATCTGCCTCCCGCTCCCTCCCCCCCAGCTCCTCTTTTGTTGAGGTAAGAGGCAGGTATGTGCTTGTGCAGGTGGGAACACGGCGCAGTGCAGGCAGATGAACCTGACATCATTACATTCCTCAGACCTTACTTAGAGTCACCGCACAAAGACCTCGACAACAACCAAACACCACACTAAACACAGCTCACCTTACCCATTTCCTCTTGTATTGAGTTGTAATCTAAACAGTGCAGGTATGTTATTGGAAGGCTGCTACCCTTTCTTCTAGGATGAGGTCAGCGCCGAAGACCCGCACATTACCTCACTTTCTCACGGAAAGGATCGCGACAGGCTCATCTGGTTTGGATGCTGCCAGCTATAATTGTGTGGTGTGTCAGAGGAGGCAGGAGTCCAAATAAGATACAGGGGTGAAAACCAAAGGCAGAACAAAAAATGTAACTTTTTTTTGGCAGTAGCACATAGCATGTCCTGCCACGAGAGGGCAGTACAGTCTACACTAATGATTAAGTGTCTCAAGCAGAGGCCTACACTGATTTCTGCTCCCTGACCTGAGACCTACTGACTCACTTTTACAGCTATTTATGTCTGATAGCACAATCCTGCTGTCACCTTTGGATTACCAGATTTATGGCTGGCACCTGCCTTGTCAAAATCTGCTCGCACACAGCAGGATACACCGCAATCGAGGCAATCTGTTATCTGCAAAGCCAATCTGCAAACAGCTTAACTGGCGTCTGGAGTGAAGTAGCTGGGAAGATCAAATTAGCTTATCTTTTTATCGATTGCTGATCACACACTGCTGCAGCACCATATCAAAATTAAACGGGGAGTCAAAGCCAAATGCTACTACCCCCTCTTCCTCTCCCACACTCTCACCTCAATCCCTTCCATCTGTCACGCTTATCCCCGTGGTAACTGATCTGCGAGCAGTATTGATTAGGCTGTGTGTGATCGTGACGCTGCTGATGGCTAAACTCGGTATAAAGCGAGCAGAGGGGGAACTCATTAATCCAAGTGATCTGACTGGTAAACCGCCATTCTGCTCAGCTGTAACGTTGGGGTCAAAGGTCAAGCTAAGAGCCAGATGGGGCGTATATATATCAGTGTGGGGTTTAGCCTGTGTGACTGAAAAGATCAAATCTGTTCTTTAATTTGTTTACTGTTTTGTTTGGGGTATAAAAACAATCATGTGGCCATTCATGGTGTTAATTTATTTCCCAACTCTTTGGTTAATTTACAAGTGATCCACGGAGCATATGGTCGGATGAAGAGTGGTCCAAAAACAACCACCTACACCGCTCCACTTTCTCCTCACACACAAACACAGTCACACAAAACTTGACCCCTTTTTTTTTTTTTAAAAAAAAAGCATCATTACATCCATCCTGACCCACGTGCAATGTGACATCACACATCGGGTGTCCTCATCACAACTGGCTGCTCGGGAGCGCTCTTTGTTAGTGAGACAGCAGGTGTGCAATAACTCAGCCAATATACTGCCCCCAACCCCTTTGGAGACAGCCAGTTGCCATGGAGACTGGCTCAATGAAGCATCCATTCTACCCCCTCACCCCACCGCATCACCCGCCTCAAACCGCCTCCTGAGGATGGATACACGCCACAAATAATGATTAGCCCACATCAACTTTGTCACAGACTATTGGGTTTTTCAGCGGTTAACAACTCCCTGGATTTTTTTCTGTAGTGTAATAGGTTAATCTACCAGACCATTTTGTGTTTAGACAGACGCACACGTTCGAACTGGGCTTCAAGAAGTGTTAAATATTTAAGAAGCATTATTGCACTGTACTACATTTGAATGCTTTTCACTGATAGATAAGCTCAATAGCAAAGGAGCGCCCAATACTCAAAAACGAAATGCTTATTATTAAGGAAATGCTTATAACATTTACTTATATTTCTATACAGCACTTGAACCTAAGAGAGATGCAGCTATTAGTTAACAATGCACTTAAAATATAATATCTGTTTGTTTTTCTCTAGAGGCCACATTTGTCAAGTGCACTGATGGTGAAATATGTAAGTTGATAAAGCCATCATAGACAAATACTGCCTTTTCTCACTGGGAGGTGGGGGCAAATATAAAATGAGGGATTTGGGGGTCATTCACACACAAAACTTAAGCATAAAACACATAATTTCCTGATTTCTGGTGGGTTTTTATGCACCAATTTGTGCCTTTTCTGCATCAATTTATGGTGTAAAGGTCTTAAATTTTGCTACTTACATGTTTGCAATGGGGGGAACAAATGCACATGCACCCCCCCTGTATCTACACCTATGTTTTTACAAAAGCACCACCTATGTTTTTATTACCTTGCAATAAGTTAGATAACTTGCATTAACTTCATGCTACTCCAAATTGTGGTTTTCACATGATAACCATCTGTCTAATCACAACCACTGCAAGTCTAAACACGCCAGGTGATAGTCATCAAAGGGTTTACCGTCAGGTGAAAAATCAAATAAGCGGTGCAACAAGTTGAAGCTTGTGCATGTGGAAGGAAAATCTAACAATTTCATTGCATGTCTGCCACAACTTGGTGGAGACGGTGTGAATGGTAATGACGTGACACCTACATTATCGGGAGGGATTGCAAAAGGTGATGCGTGGAGACACCTGGGGTGACAAAAGCGACAGACAGCTCCACACACATGCGGTGTGAGAGGACAGATAAGTCCGGCTGCACCGCATCAGGCCTGGAGAAGTAAACACAGCGACTCCTGAGCGGTGTTAGCTGTGAAACCGCTGCCTGGTCGGAATGCTACACCTATGAGACCTACGCGGCCCTCGGAGTCGAGTTACCGCTGCAAAAGGTGACTATCACGGCTAATGAAAGATACAGCCAGCGGGTCCCTTATGTCACAGAGGGGAAGTGTTTCTCAGAGGATTTAAAGTCCCGTGTTGCTGAATAACTCGCACTCCGACGAACCTCGACGGAGCGCGAGCAGCGGGAATAGCGGAATGCAAAGCCGAGCCTATTTGCGCTCAGCTAACTAGCTAGGATGCTAGCTAACAGCAGCTAGCTGCCTAGCTCCGTCTCCCCCCTCTGGCCCGACTCACCAATGTGATTATCCTCGATGTGGACGATGAGCTCGGCGAGAGACTCGAACTGGAGACCGCAGCCCCCGAACCTGCAGGAATTGGAGAAGAAAGAAGCGGCGGCGATGCCCGTCATGTTTGCGGCGCTGGTGCATTCACCGGGTGGATGTGGGGAGGGGGTCCGGGAGCCGGGGAGGTGAACGAGGAGGCAGAGTTGTCGGGTTCGGGGTGGGAGCGCCGCAGAGCGCGGAGCAGACACCGGGCGGCCAGACAGGACAGCGGCGTACGCAACTGGGAGGCAGGCGGGACGGTGGGGGTGGGGGTGGAGATGGAGGGGAGGAGGAGGAGGGCTGGCTGGTGGGCTGTCTACGTCACCACCTGCCTACCTGTTGGGATCTGTGCCCCCAAAGCCCTGACTGTGACTTTGTGGCTGATGACATCAAACAAACGGAAATAAATCAAATCTGTCAAATCTGCGCACATTTGCATAGACGTCACACACATCTAACACATCTGCATGTGCGCAGGCCTTTGTTATAAACATATGTGATTTATCAGCTGTTTTCTTGCACAGATTTATCTAACAGAGCTGGGGCACATCACCATAAACAACAACTACAGTGGTATTAAAACAGACATAAAATAAAACAAGTTAAAAGAAGTGTATAAATAGAAATTAAAAATCAAATTAGAAATAAATAAATATTGCAAAAACAGTCCACAGTCCAGTCCAGTTGTGGCTAATGTGACTGTGTGTGACTGGATTCAGCAGGTGGGACGAAGGATCTCCTGAAACGCTCCGTTCTGCAATAACACCCTGTGCTATTATATGTTATATCCCACATCTATGTCATACCATTTGCAGAACAGTCTGATTTTTGTCTCGTCTGGCCACATTATGTTCTCCTAGGCTTCTCCAAATGTTATGCAGCACACTTAAAACAAGCTTTTGGGAAACAAAATGATGTGCCATGTTTGGAGGAGATATGGCTCTGCATGTGGTCCTAAAAATACCATACCTGCAGTGTAGTTTGGGGGTGGAAGCATCATGGTACAGGGCTGTTTCTCTTCTCGTGTTACCAGCAGAATCCAAATTATCAAAGGCAAGATGAATGGAGCCATGCACCAGGAATGTCTTAGGAAGAATTGAGGATGAGATGCAGGTGGAATCTTCCAGCAGGATAACAGTCCACACCACGTTGCGAAGGAGACTGTCGACTGGTTCCAGAGGATGAACATGAATTTAAATGGCCCAATCAGTCACCAGACGTAGAAATAATAGAACATGTGCTGACAAAGCTGAAGATGAAGGTTCACTAGCATCTTCTAGATTTAAAGACTGTCACAGGAAAGGACCAAAATCCCATCTGAACGCTGGGAGAGAGCATCTTAAATGCTGGTGTTGCAAACAAAAGCTTCTCCACAAAGTGTTAAATACATTTCAGTTGGTGTGTTCAACTCTTTTTCCCTGTGCTATTCCACTTTATTGCACTCGTGCTATATCATGGGCAGCTGGACTCGCTTGGACTTTCTAGAAGACGTTTCACCTCTCATCCACGAGGTATCTTCAGTTATGAACTCATAATAAGAACTGAAGAAGCCTCTTGGATGAGAAGTGAAATGTCTTCTAGAAACTCAAGCGAGTCCAGTTGCCTACGATTTAACACTTAAGATCACCACAACCTGGATGACTGAGAATCTTCACTGACACACTTTATTGCACATAACTTTTTTATGGATTGTAATGTCATGATTTCTTATCCGTATATTTTTATTGAGTTGATATCAGTGTCTGGTGTAAATTCCATGTAAATAGCTGCATTGGAAATATGTTTAATGAAACAAATGTTGATTATTTTCCCCACATATCAGTGGATTTTTATTTGATGGAAATTGTGCAGATATTGATTACCTAAAGCAGGTTATATATAATGTATATTTGTGTTACACTGTAGGTTGTTTAACATATTGGTATGTTGCATTCTACAATGCAACAGCCTGTAATAACATCAGGGTTTGCCAATTAAGCCTACGCATATAAAAAGAAGAAAGAGAAATTAAGCAGTCATCCAAGAATTGTATCAGAGAGTAATTATAATATGAATTAATTTGAGAGATTACATTCACTGTAAATGCATAAAGTATAAGGAATCAGTATCAGAACATTCACAAATGTCTGTAACATATTATTAAACTGGCAGGTAAATGACTGTACATTTGGTGATGCTTAACTGTAATAAAACATTAAATAAAAGTCCCATTAGGACCTTAGAGTTTGCTGGTGAATAGGCCTGAGCAGTCATCCAGATACTGTGTGAATATGATCTGGAGGAGGAACCGAACTCCCAGTGACCAGAGTCACCAAGGAGTGGCAGCATCACAGTCCCAGAATAACAACTGGTTGTGAGCTGGACATATGCTGACAATCTAAATTCTTCTCTTTATATTCATCATGTTAAGTAGCTGCTGGATTACATTTTTTCCCAACATTCATTTGCAGTAATGTGCGTAGAAAGAAAATGCCTTCCAGTGTAATTCCTTTTTATTGTCTTTTATGCCTTACGTAAGCACTTTGGGTTGCGTATGTGTATGAAATTTGCAATATAAATACTTTATTGCTTTTGTTTTTTGTTTTAATAGAGCTTATTCAATTATGGCCACGTGATGTGCTGGAGCAAATATTTTACATGTGTATAAAACATGTCAGTGCTGTAGCTCGCAACTGCGTCAAAACAGACCTGAATGGAATTTTGGAAATGTCAATATCATCATTGTTTGTAGTATTTTTTAAATTATTGTTGTTTATTTTCCACCTCTGTCACAATGTCACCCAGAGATAACTCTAGATATAGTAGTTGCATAACCCATTGACAGCAGCATCTATCACAACCATAAAGCTTAAGGATTAATGTTGCCCTTTAATGGCTCAGTGGTGGGGAGAGAACTTTGTAATGTGTGTGTGTGTGTGTGTGTGTGTGTGTGGCTCCCAGAGAGAGGAGAATGTCCCTAAATCACTGGGGTCGGCTAACCAGGGCCGGCTGGCCTGTTCTGGACCTGTTAATCGAGCGTTAAAATGGCCTGTCATAAACCACCGGCCAGTGACTTCAGCAAACAACCTTAAGACCTGGAAACACACTCGTCCTTTTTTCTCACTGCCCTCTATCTACCCAGCCATTTGTAACACACACACACACACACACACATACAAAAACACTGAATAAATTCAGATTCACAGCTGCAAATAAGCACCAACCATCACAAACAACACGACATCACCGGCGTCCACACATGTACAGTAGAGAAACTCAGTGACTTCATGAGCCTAACACAGATGTTCTCTCTTACACACAAACCCGTAGACACACACTCAACATAAACACACTCATTACACACACATGGTGTATCAGAGCTGTGACAGTGACGCAGTTCCCAACACCATTACGTAAATGAGAAGTGGTAGCATGTGTTGTGAAATGCAAGAGAGAAAAGGAGAGACTCAGAGAGAGTTTATGGTGCATGACATCATCTGATCTGAGGGTGTGTGGGTGGCGCACAGTGTAACAGTTTCGGATAGATTGCGGGTGATCACGACTCTTCTAATTATCAGCTCCTTTTTCTCTGAAGACAAACAATCCAACCAGTTTGATGACCAACACACAGCTCCAGTGTACAAGAGGTCTGCTCTGGAGTGAATCTGCATGTGAGGGCAGAGTTGGATGTAAATTTAACTCCAACCATCGTATTACATAATCTTGTATACTTGGATGCTGTTTAAAGTATCTGTTTCCAGTTACTTTTTAAGTCCCACATTCATCCCACATTACCCTGCACTTCACTGATATATAGTCAAAAGCAGAGGTGTGGACTTGAGTCACATGACTTGGACTCGAGTCAGATGTGAGTCACAAATATGATCACTTTAGACTCGACAGAATCAAAAAGATCTGAAACTCGACTTGGACTTTAGCACCAATGACTCGTGACTTCACTTGGACTTGAGTCTTTGGACTCAAAAATACTTGAGAAGATTAAAAGTATGTGACTTAAAAAGTGTGCCATGAATCCACCAACTTCTCTTCACTTCCTGAGTCAACTAATTTTAATGCTTTAACCCAGCAAGTCAACACTTGATTCCCCAGATCCACTTTGTTTGAACCAGTCCAACAGCATCCAACCAAGTTGCAGGAGAGAAACATGAACTAACATCTTATTACCTAGTGCCAGTTAAAAAAATGATACCAAAGACAGGCTAGTTCCCGTGCAAAAACTGTGCGGTGGGTTCCTGGTTTGAACCCAGGGTGCGGGAGCCCTTCTGTGTGGAGTTTGCATGTTCTCCTCGTGTCAGCGTGGGTTTTCTCCAGGTTCTCCAGCTTCCTCCCACAGTCCAAAGACATGTATGTTAATTGATGACTCTAAATTGTCCGTAGGTGTGAATGTGAGTGTGAATGGTTGTCTGTCTCTATGTGTCAGCCCTGTGATAGTCTGGCGACCTGTCCAGGGTGTACCCCGCCTCTCGCCCAATGTCAGCTGGGATAGGCTCCAACTCCCCGCGACCCTCAACAGGATGGTTATGGAAAATGAATGAATTAATGAATAATATATTTTTACTCTGTTGTTAAAATGGCATTACATTTAGTGAAGAGAGCAATATGACTTGTTTAGGACTAGAAGGTCAAAGTTTATGACTTGGGACTTAACTTGAGACTTGAGTGCAAAGACTTGCAAAACCACAACTTGATCCCCCTAGTCAGAAACCACCATGTATCAAATCAAAACAGTCTGACAGCTGAGCCAGATGAAGCTAAAGTGAGGATAACACTACATGGGGATTGAGGTCAGTAAGTTTGTTTGACCTTTGACCTGAAACCCCATATTTTTACTGACAGAGTGACATCAGGCTCTGAGCAGGCAGCTTTCTAATGCTCCCAGTCTGGCTCTTAAGAGCCATGCTGAGGTGGAGATGCCACATGGTAATGGCTGGTACAGCCACTGAGTTATGGAGGTAGTTGTAATCTCAGCAGCATTGTCTGCTCCAGGGCACCAGCCAGAGACTTCCTGGCTGCCGTCATACACTTTTAAGTGCAACTGTACGCTCTTCACAGGCACGCACACGTGTTGTAAAACATCCCATATCTGCACTGAAAACAAAGCGCTGTGATTCACATCCACACAGGGGAAGAGCTCAAAACACAGAGTGACATCATCACAACTTCCTGTTTCTGCTCGTTGCCGTGGCTACCAGAATTTGCATACCTTAGGCGATTGGTGGATGATGAGTCAGTAGGGTTTGGTCCCGTTTTGCACTTCA